CTCTCTCTCTCTCTCTCTCTCTCTCTCTCTCTCTCTCTCTCTCTCTCTCTCTCTCTCTCTCTCTCTCTCTCTCTCTCTCTCTCTCTCTCTCTCTCGTATTGCAGCGGTGCCTGGATAGTGTGACGTGTGTGGATAATAAGTAAAAATATAAAGATACAGGGGGAATGATAAATAACGGCCCTTTTATAATGTAGTCTGTTTCAAATGAAGCTGGTAGCCTCTGCAGTTGTGGTGAGTAAAAGCCCTGCCACTATTTTTTAATTTTCTTACTTTAAGTCATCTAGTCAAAATTTTTGTATTTGTTAATACAAGCCCTACATTCTACTGTAGCCTTTAAAATGTATTTTTTACCAAATTGTGTGGCTGCACTTTAACCTGTGTCTTGATCTGTGTCAACACTAGATAATAATAAGAAAGGATAAAAGTTTTATGGCATTAATTCTACTATCATGTATTTATTTCTTAATATTTTTCATAGAGTTTTAGGAGTTGAGACATACAACAATTCATATCCCATCCATTTTTATTTTACGCACTGGTATTGGATCAGTACTCGGTATTGGCAGATACCTAAGGTTCAGGGATCGGAATCGGTATCGGGAAGGAAAAAGTGGTATTGGTACATCTCTACATATTACTAACTTTAATAATGAAGTAATGAAATATGTTATGGAATATAATGAAACAAAATTTCGAAGAAGGGCTATTAGTTTTTACCCATTCTTGCATGAATCAATCAATCAATTTTATGTATAAAGCCCAATATCACAAATCACAATTTGCCTCACAGGGCTTTACAGCATATGACATCCCTCTGTCCTTATGACTCTCGCAGCGGATAAGGAAAAACTCCCCAAAAAAACCCCTTTAACGGGGAAAAAAATCGGTAGAAACCTCAGGAAGAGCAACTGAGGAGGGATCCCTCTTCCAGGACGGACGTGCAATAGATGTCATACAGAACAGATCAGCATGATAAATTAACAGTAATCCGCATGACACAATGAGACAGAGACAGAGACAGAGAGAGAGAGAGAGAGAGAGAGAGAGATGCAGGTAATGACAGTAGCTTACAACAACATTATTGAAAGTAATAATATTATAGTTATAGTTCTGGCTACTGTGGTACAATATGTTGAAAGTATGTATGAAGTTATGGCCCATGCAGCATAAAAGACAAGAATTCATTCCAGTAACAATGATCCAACACTCACAGCAACCAGCAAAATACGTGTTAAACCCAAACAGCAAACTTTACCCATTATAGTAGCACAACTGTCAGGGCTGAGACACACACTGAGTAAGTGTGTGTTTGTGAGAGAGAAAGAGGGACATAGAGATCATATCTTACTCAGGATGCTACTTTATCACTCACTGACATTTGACATTTTTGTAGTAAGCTTACCTGAAGTCGCTGCATCACTACCACAAATAATAAGCCAACAGAGGGATTTATAATATCTTTAGTTCCTGCAGGTCAATCGCACATGTGTGTGGTTGGTAAATACCAATAAATAAATTACTATATATTACTATAATTATTTTTCAATCTCAATTGTTTTGGGGTTTGCTTCAGTATAGGACCAAAAAAATACTAGATATCCTAAATACTGTAATGCATTTTTCCTCCTCATATTTTCTGAATTAGTTAATATTTTGCAAGCTGGATGGGAGTCTTTGGTCCATCAGTCGACGATCCCTGATGTTGGGGTTACAACACAATTGTTTAGGGCCTATGTAGGCTGCAGAGATCCTTTTCCTTACCAGTCCTACTATATTAACAGTTGACTCACAGGGTAAAAGAGCATTGCAGGTTTTAACCTACTGCCAACCCCCAGTATGACATACAAATTTGGCCTGTTTGTCCAAGATGATGTCCATCCTCTGCTTCCTGAAGTGAAGAAAGTTCATTATGGCACTTAAAACAGTCAGAGTCTTCTGTTTTTCTAGAAAAGGAAGAACAAGGCCATTATTCAGGGTTATTTGACATCTAGCTATTAGATGTGGAAATATATAATGATGTAATAGTTTCAGAAAAACTCTGGACAGATAAAATTTAAAATCATTAACTTACTTGGCGCTAGAAGGTCATTCAGTGAAAAATCGTACACCAAACACATTGGCAGAAACTGCCGCCTATAAAACATCCCACACAGTAATGTTAGAAATATATGCACTGCATGCAACAATAAACATCTTGCATAAAAATCTCACTGATTCCAGAGCTGAACCCTTTCAAGTTCTGAACTAAGGATAACAAAAACAGTTGGGTGCTCTATTCATTTGAGTCTATTTGGTCTGCTTACATAATTCTAAATACATTCTGTCCTTAAAGAGTAACTAAACCCCCAAACGACTTTTTTTCAATTGAAAAACATTGTATTTAGTAGTGATGTTGATAGATTCAGGTCCATATGTTGACATCTTAGTGCAGAGTATTTGAAGTCTACATATTGTGTCATAAATATGCATAGTGACCGCCCTCTACAGGTTGAAATCTGGCTATTGCAATTGAATTTTGCTATTTGTTGATCAGGGGCTTCATTTATAAAACACTGCAGAGAATATACACTAAATGTTTGCATACATACAAATGAGGAAATGTACATATGCCAAAAAATATTCTGATTTATAAAACCATGCGTATGCCTGCTAGTGCACAGTTTACAAATCCTTTTATAAATCCCAAATCAACTTGGAATTGCATGCACGGGGCCCAGCCTAATATCTCGCCCTCTACACACCCACATTCCACCATAAATGGTAAAGTCAAAGCACCTCATTAATTCTGATACATAAACATGAGCTGGCTGATCAATGGTTCTATACAGTATATCATGGCAATGACTGAGAGGAAAACTGAGAGAATTAATATTCCTGACACAGAAATTGAGGTGCTTGTGGGTGAGCTGGAGGTTAGAAAACACAGCCTGTTGTTTAGTGGGCAGTGAGGTCACAAATGAAAGGCAGTGAGTGGGAACATGTTGCTGCTGCTTTTAATGCAGTCAGTTCATCAAACAGGACACTAGCTGCCATTAAAAAGGGTCAGATGATCTAAAGATGGTTACCAAAGAGAAAAGCATTGCGCCCTGATGTCTTTGCTAATTACCACAGTCCATATGCGCAGGTGGTGAAGAGGAAGCAGAGTACTGCAGTGTCTCCAGTGTGCTTTGTGCGCCTAAAAGCACACTTGTGATCCCTGTGGCCATTTTACACACAAAAACTATCAGAAAACTAAAATGGTACTTGGTGATATTTGCACAGTATTAGAGGAGATTATTGAAAACTGTTGACACAGTGCACTGCAATTATTTAATGCTGTTTGATGTTATCTTGGATTTCTACAATCGACAACATTAATTTCATCAGTTAGCCTGGTTAACATGGCTGAGGTGAAAATGACTCAGTATATTCACCTCTATTATCGAGTAAAGGAAAGCCAAACTTTCCTGAATCCTGTCACCTGCCACAGCCTGACATCATACAGCTGTGCACAAGGGTCAACAGCATGCAGATGGCCCCTCCCCTACCCTCCGCGCTCCAGTGGTAGGGAATGTGACGGTAACACAGCGCTAATGAAATACTGAGTGGGATTTGATTTGAGATTTAAGGTGACATATCTCCTGTAATCAAAATGTGTGTATGTAAAAGTTCTGGCTCACTGGCACAAACACAAAAAGCACTGCTGCATCTGATGTTTATGAAGTGGATCTCTAAGAAACATATGATATGAGGTGAATTTAAATGTGTGAGAGATCATTATACGTACAATGTTCCCTCTCACATTTCCATAATCTGGCTTCAATTCACCATCTCGCCATCTGTGTCAGCAATTTTCCGTCTCAAAATGGGCGTACATATGGGTCAGAGTTTTCTTAAATTTAAGCACATTTCCTCGTCAAGTTTTTCTTTATAAATCCCAGTTTATGCTTAGAAAATGGCGTATGCACATGTCACGCCCTTTTTTTTTAGCATAAGCATTGGTTATAAATGAGGCCCCAGGAGCCTAGTGACGTATATGGACAGAGCTTTCATCACCAACCAAGCCCTGCCCATTTTCAAGTTCCTGGAAGGAGGCACTTAGGCCAAAAGCCAGGGGGTTATTTCCTAAACTTGTTATCAGCAATAATCCTTTTTTTTTTTTTTTCAGTCCGTGGCAGTTGGTACATATAATACTGTGTAATATCCTGGAAAGGAAGCAAGTAAACTCACATGCGCATATAGACGCTCATGATAGCTGTTGTCCCCTCATGATATACTGGATTCTGAATGTTCTCCAAAAGAGGAAGCTTTGGGAAAACAAAAAAGATCCAGCTCTTAAATATAGGAAAGATGGTGATGACTCTGTCTATGACATATACCACCACACCATTCCCTACAAAAACAGGTGTGGAAAGTGACACTATAACACCAAACAATAAGAAATATATGTGACTGCTCAGTGTAACATAGAATCTAGAGTGAAATTAGACAGTACTTACCATGGAGTGACACTCAGGTCTGAAACGATACAGGAGATGCAACACTCTCATGTACAACGTTTGAACCGCCTCTGGCTGGAAGAGAGAGTAAGTGAGTGCTATGTTAATGATCTGTAATTTATCTGACCATAGACTGATGGCTGGAAATCAAACAGCATCTCAACTACGGGCAGGTATTTTGTCTGGTCCAGTTCTTTGCTTCATTGAAATCAAAGCTGGGTGAATGTTTACAGCTGGTACCCGATTTTGGTAAATCGAACATACACATGCCTATGTGTATATTAAAAGAGTTACTGGTTGTTGTAATTTTTGTTCCTGTTCATTCTGGCTGTGTAATGATCTCTTGGTAAGAAGATTCCTGTATATCCTACATACAGGGGACTAAATCCACATTGCTTGTTCTGTGCAAAGAGCAAGGTCTGCATCTAATTATAATTATTTTCATTATTGATTACAGAGTAACTACAGCTTAGGCATGTTAGATTTAAGACATTTTTAATGCCCCTCAGAATTAAATTTAATACCAATTTTATGATAACCAATACTGAAGGAAAACAAAACATGAACCAAAATAAATGACTAAGGGTTAGGGAACATTTTATATTAATGTTTTTTGTAACATAAAACAGGACATTTTTTGTCAAGTTAAAAAGTTAGATGACCTACTTAAATGTTGAAAAAAAAAAAACTTTCTAGAGAGGAATACATGGAAAACAATGAACATTATAATATCCATTTAGTTTTTCTTAGGGATGCACAATATTGGGTTTTTGTCAATATCCGATATGCCAATGTATAACAACTCATTTGACCAATAACTGATAGCAATATCGATATATCCACTTTTGCCCAACCTAATTTTAGTGATCATCAAGTCTCTTCTGTAGTGGAATAAACATCATATTATGCACACATACTCTTATTGTGATGGCCCACCAGCAGATGGAGACATGAAATACAGTGTTTTTAAATGTATGCAATATTCATTCATAGTGCAAAATAGGAAAAAGTATGTGGCTGATTCAGTTAATTTTAAAGCCAGTATCGGCTGATACCGATGACGTGCTAATATTATCGTGCATCACTAGTTTTCCTTGAGAAAAGCTTGTTTGGGTGGCAGTAGCTCAGTCCATAGGGACTTGGGTTGGGAACCGGAGGGTCACCTGTTTGAGTCCCCGTCCGGACCAAATATGGAGTGTGGACTGGTGGCTGGAGAGGTGCTATTTCACCTCCTGGGCACTGCCGAGGTGCCCTTGAGCAAGGCACCGAACTCCCCAACCGCTCGGGGCGCCTGACCAAGGCAGCCCCCTCACTCTGACATCTCTCCACTTTGTGCATGTATAGGTCCTGTTTGTGCATGTGTGTGTCTTTCGGACCTGTGTGTAATTGACAGCAAGAGTGAAAACACTGAATTTCCCCTCAGGGGGATTAATAAAGTATATAAAATTAAAAAAAAAAAAAAAAAAAATTATTTGTCATTTGGTCGAATGTGGTTTTAGTGATTAATGTTATTATCTTTCAAATAAAAATTCTAAATATGTGCTGATTAAAGCTTCTCAACTGTGGCACTTTGCTGCTTGTTGTCATATTTGATTGTAAATTGAATATTTTCATATTTTTAAGTTAGGGACTGTGGGTCACTTAAAACAAGTGGACACCATAATCTTGAGCTTTGGGAAATTTTAGCTGGCACCTTTCACTACTTTCAGACAATTTAGATACAAAACTATTTATTGAGTAATCGTCATCATTAAAAAAGAAAAAACAAAAACAGCAGATTAATCCACAATGAAAACAATCGTTAGTTACAGTCCTATCTGGAATCATACTATGTTTCATGTCACTTTTTATATGTGACAACAAAAGCAGTTAACCCTGACTGGAGAAGCTGAAACAAGACAATGCTCACTGGTTTTGCTTAAAATGATCGATTATTAGTTATAATAGTTCGCTGACCAATTAACAGTCAAGTTTACGTTAATTAAATCAAGTGGGTATCTATATTTAACTGATCCTGTTTTTTTTTCTGGGCTTTGTTTGTTTATCCAAATGAATGTGAATGGTTAAACTTGTTTGCACAACACAAAAAGCTGTTATACACAAAGTGTAAAATATAAAAGCACAGCTTCGATGTCCAGAATATAGATAACGTTACATAAATTCAATGCACGCATTGAACCTGACCACAACTTCAACTCTTCAGTTCGGTCCCTGGCAACATTAATTATATTTCTAACTCCATTATGTGCGTTGCACACTTCTGACGAACCTTTCAAATGTAGTCATTATGTTGCTGTTATCAAGTATGAATTATATAGTTTGTGGACAGTGAACGGACGTTACCTTAGGAGTAGGAGTCAGGTCGCTCTTGTTGAAATGTTTCGCCTCTTGACCCGTGAGAACTTCTGTCCGGTAAAAGTTCACTATCGCATCCACAGCATAGACGGGGAAGGTGTTTTCTGTCATTGTCGCAATTTTAATACCAGCTACAAAAAAACAACACGAAAAAACTATTTCTGTTTCAGCGACGACACAAAATTGGCGCCTTAAAACGTCTTCCGTGTTGATTTCTGGACGACGCATCTGATTGGTTAATTCATACTTCTTCTGTTGTGAGAAACATGATTCATTACTCATCTGCGCCCTCTACCGCACTGACTGTTTCAAACTCTTTAACTCTCCCCTCTCACTTTAGCCTGCCCTCACACAGTTATTTGGACTTCATTTAAATATTTGGGGAAAACTGTGTTTGCCAACTAATCTGATATTCGATTAATCAGTTTAAGTAATTAAAAAAAAGTCAAACTTTTCTAATTCCAACTTCCTACGTGTTGATATTTTCTGGTTTCTTTACTCTTCCATGACAGTAAACTGAATATCTTTTGGTCGAGGACAAAACAAAACATTGATGATCAGTTATCACTATATCAAATGGATATGGCAAACGTATTAGCAAATGGTGGCCTATTTACACGTCAAGTATACATGTAGTAGCATCAGCACTGATCAATCTAATAAGTCAAATAATTACTCTCCTTTTTAACGCTCTGTAAGGTTTGGTGTCCACCAATTACTGAGGGAAATATCTGCCCTTTTAGCTCTTTAATACTCCACTATGTTCACTAGATAATAGCTGACTTTGTTGATCAAGTGTTTGATGCTTAGCAGGTAGCGCACAGGTTGTCCGAGCATTTTCGCTTAAAACAGCTTCCTGCTGCTGCTGAAAACCACACGGATGAGATGAATGAAAATAGTTACGTTTTGCAACTTTATTGTGGTGCTTTCAAAACGACACCTGTGTCTGCCTTTCAGGTTGAGATGGGTGAAATGCTGCTGTATATTAGAAGAAAACAGTTCATGATGAACTACTGGGCAAATCTTCGAGGGCATTCTAAAGGTAGGTATCCTACAACAAAAGTAGCTACTTCTCCCGTGTTGGGTGAGAGAAAGGGCCAAACAGGACTGCTTTGTGTAACGGGCGTGCATTGTCTTTAACAATCTAATATCTTGTTGGATGCACATCCGCTAACCCTTCTATGTTCTGCGTTGTGTTCTATGTTGTGCTGAATGAAGGAAGAACCCGGACCACGACCAGCTACTGGTTGCTCTTTTAATGAAGGCAAGACGGTGGATTTGTCTGTACAAATCAACAAAAAACACAATAAGGCTCTGTAACATGTAGTCTCCTCCACACAGCACACAGGTCTCAAGCTCCTGCTCTCATCGAGTCTGGCGTATAGGTCTGGCGCGGAGCCGCGGACTGAGGGAAGCACAGGAATGACGATTACGTATGAGGATAAAGACACTAACATTCTTTTGAACACTTTATTTATTCTAGGGAAATTCTTTATTCACAAATGTAAATGCATTAAAACACAACCCCTTTTTTTGGTATTTAAAAAAGAACTGACTATGTACTGTAAAGCTTTGAAGCACATGAAAAAGAAAACAGCAAAAAGTCTTCTGTACACTATTAATAACATTAGACTATTAGAAGAGGCCCCTTAGCGATTTTAATTTATATTTTTTTCATGTCTTTTTTGTTTAATTCTGTTTCCTGTGCTCCATCTGTGTAAGAGCATATTATGAAGAATGTAACAACTGCCATGTATTGTTGTAAATTGTTCTATTTTCAATTTAAAAAAAATAAAATAAAATAAAAAAACACAGGAATGACGGCACAAGGCCTGCGACCTCTTAAAGTGACAGTACAGGTATTAACACTTTGGTCTGAATACAACATCCAGGCATAAATACAGGCAATAAAACACATCTTAAACATATATAAAACATTATTCATCAGGATTTGGTGAAATTTCAAACGTAAAAATAAAGATATAATTTCAACCCAGTTACATTTGCATGGCGACAAAGTAGCTACAGACAAGAAATTAAGCAAGAAACGTCCCTGCAGTGTTCCACCCTGTTTCCTTCAGTGACAATCAAAGTCTATATGTTGGAAATAAGCAGATGCACAAAGATTTTGGAAACATTGCAACTTTGGGAGAAGACAGGCTACAAACATTGTATCAAACACATGTTCAAGTTTATACTGATGGATCCAAGGATCCCAACACAGGGAGAATAGGTTTTGCTGTTAGTATACCAGCCCCTGCATGTTTCTGTTAAAAGACAGACATCAGACCATTTGTCAGTGTTTCCTGTGGAGATGGTGGCTATTGCAAAAGCACTACAGATGATAGAGAAATTACAAATTAAAATGCTTATTCTTTAGACTCATGTTCAGCATTGATAACATTACAATCATCTGCATCTAATAGTAGGCAGGGTAGTGTTAATGAAATATATTAATCTTTGTACAGATATAAAAATTATGAATATTGTTATAACATTTATGTGTATTCCAGCTCACAGAGGAGTCAAGGGTATGGAGCTATATTAGGGCCAAATGTTTTGTACTTGAAAAAAATAAAATTTGAAACTGAAAATTCAAGTTTTGATCTTGAATTTTGTATTCAAAATTTTTTTTTCAAGTTCAGTATAATTATGATTCACTCTGGTATTTCTTTTGAATAAATTATTTATTTTCATTTTTCATTTTCATATTTTTAGATATTTGAGATCATATTTTATCAGTTGCACATTTTATCTTTTCAGATTCAGATCTTATTATTCACAGTTTCAAATCTTTTTTTCACTGTCAGATCTTTCTTTTTCACTTTCAGAGCTTTTCTTTTCAGTTTCAGACTTTTGGCCCTTATCCAGCATGGGGGCTGTGGCATCAGCTGAGAGGGGTGTGGAATCATGACAGACAGCTTAACAAAAAGGCTAGGGACCTTCCCCTATTACGTTGCCTTCAAAAAAATTTCAATTCAACACTTTATGTTGGCTACACCATGTGATTCGCAGTGAAAAAACTGATGTCAGTGACAAACTTCCATTTGCACGGCATGCATGAATATCCTGCACAGCTAAATCTGTTTTAATTTCCACTGTAAGGCTAAGGCTGTTAATATGTCACTTTATTAAATTTTAATATTCTTCAATACGTGGAAAGTTTATCTAAATATCGCCTTTTTATAAATTTACTCCGACGTTTTCAGAGATGTGAGATGTGAAAGCTGTTTAAGACAGTACTACCAATTGCAGAAGCGGAGCGATAAATTATGCCAGATTGTGCATTTCAACAGCCACATGCTGAAATTTCCGATTTCCACGTAGCACTGTGAACGCAGCGCAGTGTTTGCTGTTCAGCAGGCCCACCTGCTGGCAACTACCAAAACTACTGGATTGTAACTACTAAGGGCTGCGGCTTGTGGGAAGGCGGGGCTGCCCATGTCACATACGTCAGACGTCAATCAAACACGGCAGCAGCACCAGCACTCAAGAATATGTTTAATTTCAACAATTTATTTTGACAAATAACAAAGGTCAAAAATGTAGAGAATGCAAACCCAACTTCTCTGTGATTCCGAGAAGAAAAACATAACATTCACTCAACTTAGACACAAAAGTAGAATGTTTGTCAATGATAAAGTTATTTTTTTAGTAATGAGGGCATGTACTCAATCTGGATGAACAGAATGGAAGAATGATTAATATTTGTTGAGAATATAATTGATGGCTTGTTGGCAACTCCCAATTAATAAATGGCTAGAGAAAAGCGTTCAAATGGTGTCAAATTTATGCAGCTTCAAGTCATTCTGTCTTCAAAGTCAAAAAAGTACTAAAATAAAAACAAAGAATGAGAGAGCTTTAAACATTGTATCGAGATAAAAATACTCACAGACCAATCCATGGCTCATTCACTCACAAAGCCCTGCACACCTGGCAGAACTTTAAGCAGAAGCCTGTGTGAGAGTTTTCCGAATAGATTCCCCGCAGCTTCCCTCGTTTTCCTTTTCCTGCATAGCCTGTGGGTAAATTAAAAAACGAAAAAAAAAACAAAAACAAAAACAAAAAAAATTAAGCAAAGCCTTGTCAAAGGTTTGCCTCCTTACCTGTGGGACAGACATGGAAAACTCACCTATTTTTGCATTCTCTGGGTGAGGTTCATCAGTTTGGGCAGGGGGGGATTGCGTTTTCTGCCATTTTGTATGCAGTTACTATTCTAGATGTTTATCAGATAGTGCTGTCGCAAAATTTAAGGAAATGATTCCTCCGTCGTTAAATTTAATACCATGTCCTTCAGTAACAGAGGTTTCCCGAACCGACTTTAACCTCTCCCGAATTGATCATCTTGTCGATAGCGCCATAGGCTCGCTGTGAACAACACTCGACTCTGTAGCTCCTCTTAAAAAGAAGTTAACAAAGCAAAGAAAGTTTGCTCCTTGGTATAACTCTCAAACCTGTAAGTTAAAACAAATATCGCGAAAATTTGAAAGGAATTGGCGATTAACCAAACTGGAAGAATCTCATTTAATCTGGACAGACAGTCTCAAAACGTATAAGAGGGGCCTCCGCAATGCCAGAGCAAACTATTACTCAGCTTTAATAGAAGAAAATAAGAACAACCCCAGGTTTCTTTTCAGCACTGTAGCCAGGCTGACTGAGAGTCAAAGCTCTATTGAGCCTTGTATTCCTTTAGCCCTTAGCAGTAATGATTTTATGAGCTTTTTTAATGACAAAATTCTAACTATTAGAGGCAAAATTCATGACCTC